CTGTTAAGATTTGTTGTTACTGTATTTGGCATATCAAATACATCACTGGGAGCTTGCCAGGCTTTGTCGTGCGGGTGAGAGGTGACATACAACAATTTTCACAAATTTTCTTTTACTGAAGTTTTTTTTTTTTTGATCCTTCTATTAGACTTTAAGTGGTTACAAGTAACATAAAATAAATTATTGTGGGCCTGTTATGGAGGCAGGCTTGAAGGGTGGTTGGGAAAATGGAGACAATGGTGGAGGGAAGGTGACAGTGGTGGTGGGATTGTGAATAGTGAATGCCTATAACAAGTCATCATAAAAAAACTTACTTTGCAAACCATAGTGTTTAAATAAAGTTTAAAAAAATATGCTCAAGGGGGGAAAAAGAGTTTCTAGTCTCTGTTTAGGTTACATAAAAAATAAAAGATGATAGAGCTTCTTTTTTTTTAAATTTTAATTTGAGGGGAAATTTGGGCCACACCTGCAGAGCTGAGGGCTTACTCCTGAGCACACAGGAATTACTTGCGGACCATATGGGATGCTCGAGATCAAATTTGGTCATTCACTTGTAAGGCAAGTGCCTTACCCACTGTACTATCTCTCCAGTCCCCAGATCTCTTCTTGAATGCACTCAGTGGTCGAGATAAACAATTGGAAGGATAAGGAAAAGGAAGAAAGAGAGAAAGAGAGGAAGGATGGAAGGAAGAAAAATGAAAGAGAAAATGATTCTATTTAAATTTTTTTCTTCCTATCAAAAAAGTAAATTAGTAAAATTAAGGAACCAGAGTGACAATACAATAGGTTTGTATTTGCCTTGTACACAACCAAATCAGGTTTGATTCCCAGCACTCCTGAGCACCACCAGAAGTGATCCCTGAGCACAAAGTCAGGAATAAGCCCTGAGTATAGCTGATGTGGCCCCAAAACAATAAAAACAAAAATATTAATAAAAAACAAATACTTGCAAACATACTAACGCATCACTCACTTATCACTTAAGGTGAATCTAAGCATATGAATATTTATTTTAGAGTACAGACGATTCCCTGAAATCATAACAATAAAGCGGGGGTTTTGCATAGCTCTCCTTCCCATTTTCCTGCCTCCAACTTGTCTTCTCTCCAAGGTTATAACTACCTCATGTAAGTTGTAAAAAGCAAATTATTTTATTAATATATACAAAAAATTGTAAAATCAAAGAGGAAGTTAGTAGTACAAAAGCAGTAGTTATACCCTTCTTAGTTCAAAAGGCCAAATACAAAGGAGAAAAGATCCACCATAAAGTGCAATTCTAAATATCCTCTTGCCTATTCTTATGCTCCTCACCTCTGTCTCACAGTGTTTTCATAAGCCTTCAGACTGAGTGGCTCCTGTGCTTCTGGGTGGGGAGAGGTTATCACTTCTATTCATAGATGAGAGGTGGGAAGGACTTGGAACTGCTGTAGGAATGTTGAAATTTTAAATGTATAGAAGTCAGAAAATTAGAGTTATAGTTCTCAAAGGAATAGACTATTGGTTTATTATATATATGACACATGTATAGAATTTATATACTAGCATCAAAGCAACTAATTATGGTATATATCAATTGTTTACATGCAAACAGGTTTTTAAATAAACCATAACTTTAATTTTTTCATACTTTGCATTTAAAAATTCAATCCCAGAATTTTATTTCAATTTAAGAATGTTGGGGCTGGGGAGCTGGAGAAATAGAATGGTGGGCAGGGCATTTGCCTTGCATGCAGCCAATACAGGTTTGATCCTCATCATCCCATATGGTCCCCGAGCAGTGCCAGGAAAAATCTCTAGGTGTAGAGGCAGGAGCAAGCCCCAAGCATTGCCTGGTGGGCCAAAAGATGAGAGGAACATTGGGGCGAGGGCCGCAGACATAATATGCAGGAGTGGTGGGTTCGATTCCTGCCACTGTATATGGTCCCTGAACCCCACCAGAAGTGATACCTGCGGTGCCTTGAACACTGCCAGAAGTGATTTCTGAGCACAGAGCTAGAAGTAAGCCCTGAGAACTGTCAGGTGTGGCCTCAAAACCAAAACCAAAACCCGAAAACCAAAACCCAAAACTCTCAAGGTTTATAAATGTGTGGTAGAACATTTTATTTAGAGTTGTTTATGAATAAGTCACCATAGTCATAGGTATTTGAATTTTGTATACTAGCATTTAATATCTAATAAATAAACATTAACAGTGTTATATCATCTCTGGATTGCCAGCTGAAGGGTATATGCATTTCCCCAAGGCATGGGCAGACATACACAGATCCAGTTAAAGCTCCTCCCATGCATTTCTCCATACAGACATACCTCTCACCATCCAAAATATTCAACTGAGCTTTGAACAGGGAAGCCTGGGGGTTAGGAGAACCAACAGGCATGCATAAACAAGAATCATTAGTGCTTTGCTCTAGACTCAAATCACTATTCATCCTTATTTTCTAAATGATTTAGAATCTCAGAGAAGCTATTAAGGAGGGAGGGATGATATTCTAATGTTTTTATGAGCAGATCATTCTTAAAGACTCACGGAGTGGTTAGGTAAGGCAATAATCACAAATTTCAAGAACCAGCTATCTCCTATCTTCAATCATTTTGTTCTAAGAAATTTCTCCTTTCTCAATAAGGAAAGGTCAAGATTTTTTACAGTCTCTCTGGCATCATTTTCAGTAACCTAAGCAAAGTATGAAGAGACAGAAAAATAACAACTTGCATAATACTCTTATCTATTGCAGTAAGACTCATGAAAATGGGAAAATAACATGAAAGGGGGAAAAATTCGTTATCCTAGCAGATAGATATCATCACCACGACTGATTATACTTTCTGTGCATAGTACTAAATCCTGATAAATCATCTAAGAAAATTAATTTTTATTGATAGGAAAGGCAGTTTCTTCATCTGATTGAAATAACTGATATTTCATCCCTCTGGTTAAAAATATCTGATGATTAATTAGAAAAGGGGTATTTTTCAGTATGTTGCACTGAATAAGATTTTGGTGCATAGTTGAATCTTCCCAATAATCAATTATTAACATGGAATGAATTCAAATATAAAAGCATTATCTCTTTCAAGTCATCTGATGAAAGAAACACGAATTTTGGGGTCAGAATGACGTGGTTTTAAATCAAAGTTAGGTCTTTTGCTAGCTATTGAAGCCCGAGGGAAACAATCATAAGCATTTATTTTTCTAACCTTCTTAGAAAGGGTTAATATCACTTACCTTGCAGAACTAAGAACTGCCCAGGAAATGGCTGACCATTAGTAAATGATAATATTATTGTTATTATGAAAAGTAAATAGGAAGACACTGGTTACTTGTGTATTTCATATCATTCATACATCTTGATATCAACCATTCAAAGATTGTGAGTAAATAATCACAATAATAATTCAAATCCTTAGCAAGTAACATGTTATCTTTTATAAAAAAATTATATAACATTTAATATCCATGACAACCTGATGAGGTACTATTTATTCTCATTTTTACAAATGAGGAAACTGAGGCACAGAGTGATTTGCTCAAGGCCATACAGTAAAGCCAGAATTCAAATCCTGGCAAGACTGCATAGCTATATTTTAAACCACTGTATATAAAGCCTGAAAATAGCATTAGTGTAAGATAGTAGTCATTCCTTTATTTGATATAAGTCAAATATGTCCCAACTACATTCTGTGCTAAGCACTAGAATCCAAAATTTTTCTAGACACAGAGCCTATAACCTTTAAGAAGTTTATAATATAGCCATTGGAAAAAATTATACTACCTCAAAGTTATTACTCAAAAGCCAGAATCCTCTGATTTTAAAAAAAAGTCTCCATATCACTGTTACTTAACAACCATACAATTCCAAGAATCATGGCACAACATAAATTACTCATAAAACTAATCAGAGTTTCTACCTCTTCCTCTTCTGAAAACATTTGAATAAGATTGTCACTGCATTTTATTCATCTTTGTGTTAAAAGCTTTTAAGAACCGATACATAATCCATTCTTATGTAATCACTATAGTATGCCTGACACATCACCACCAAAAATGGATCATGAAGATAACTTCTCCTGGTCATTAAGGACATCAAACGTTTGGTGAAAAAGGTAGACCAGTGTTAACAGGAACTAAACAAGCATCAAAGAGAACTAGATCATGTAATAAGTACGTGTGTTGAATTACAAATTCACCAAAACTTGTAAGCAACAAATTAAGGAAACGTAAATTAGAAAGGAAACTAAATTAAGAAATCAACTTTTGATGCACTTAGAGTTTTTAAAAATGACCTGATCACTGGGATTATTGATTCACAGCCTTTTCTGGGATCCTTTTGTTTCTATCCTCCATCATGTGGTCTTAATAATTATTTTTCACTTGTCAAAAAGCACAACAAATGTAGAATTGTAAATAAATAATATATTTGATGACCCTTAAAAAAGAGAGCAACTTATTTGGATAAAAACAGTTATATCTTCCCTAAAACAACCACCACAAAAAAAAATCTCTCGATGATGTATGATTGAGAATAGTATCTATAAAGCAGAATAATGGTCAATGTTACCCTTATTACAATTTTAACCATTTCTATTCAAAGCAATGTACCACTGAATATTGTTAATTATGCAAATTAAGATTGAGCTAGTACTCAAACTGCAGCAGGCTCTGTCTTTTATTCTTTTAAAATGAGAAACAGGTTGTTCACAAGACAAGCGGAATAGTTAAAGAAATGGGATCTTTTTCAGCTCAGTCTGAGTGAAGGTTATTTTGAAGAGCAATGAATTCTTTTATCCCACCCCTTTGCAGTAAAAAAAAAAAACTAGAAAGAAAACCAATGGATGGGTTGCAGCATGGAAATCAAATGAAAGAGGTGTTATAAATGATCTTTAAAAGAATCAGACATTTAATTAAAAAACAATTACTTTTACAGATATCATCAATTTACACACACATTTCCTTGATTCCCTTAACAAAAGGGAGTGCTCTTGGCAGCCCACACAGTGCTCACCTGATTCTGTCTTCTGGCACCCCTGGCATATGGATGAAACTTGCAGAAATTTCCCCAGGACATGATTACTTCCTGCCCCTCCTTTTTTTATTGATTGTCTGCAATTTCTTCAGCTAAAAAGTGCATCCTTTATACTTTTTTAGTTAATTTAGCTTTTACAAGTGCTGTGATGGTGACAGTGCTGTTGTGGGCTTTTTAATTTTAAAAGAGGGAGTCTGAAGAAATCTTTTTAAGGTCTCAGGTGTACTGATTGACACTCACTCACTTATATACAGAATAACTTTGTTTTTAGATTCCATTTGTTGGCTTGGAACCATTTTTTCTTGGAATATGAGAACAGTAGAGAAGCATCTTTTAAAATTATTGCCTAATTACTGGCATTTACTTTAAATCATGCCTGATTGTGCTGTATGTCAAACATTCCAAAGATGTTATTTTCCTTCTCAATCCAGTCACTCTGGGATGACATTATTGATCGATTGCAGTTTAAAAATAGAAAGAAAAAGGCATTTTGTCATTATATTTACCAACTCAGATTCTCGGACAACTTTATTTGTGCGGTTTATTCAAACTGGTTTTCTTTATGAAATCATGTAAGCAGAACTATCTGGAAGGTTACTGTGGAAACGACAGAGGCTAGAGGGTGGGGCTAGAGAGCAAGAGATACCATGACAACCTTTTTCGGGTTTCCCAGGAAACACGGGTTGCTATGGGAACTACATCAGTCAGGTCCGAATTAGTAACTTCCGCTGGAAGGAGTGTCTGCCACTTTAATCTTCTTGTGATTCTGCAGAAGCTTATCTCTCAGATGCATTAAGGGTTTCATTTATTTATTTATTTTCTGTTTGTTTCTCTCAGCAGCACTAAGAACATCTGTTTCTGGAACTTGATAGATGTTGACTGGAACACACACACAAAGAACTTCACAGGAATTTGTTAGTCTATTATGTTTGAAATGCTTAATAGAGCCCCAAAGAGTTTAAACTCGTCATAATCAGGACACCTTGGGTATTTGTCATGTTCAAAGTTGTAGAGATCCTTACAATTCTGAGAACGGTTCAGAACATAAATTCCAGACCAAAAAAAAAAAAAAACCAACTAAACCGTTTGGTGGGTTCACAAGTAATTGTTCTTAGACTTCTCATCCACATAGCCACAGTGTAGGTAACAAAACTAAACATTCAATAACACTGAAGGGTCCATCAAGCTCAACCATTAAGTATGTGCCTGCTTTACTTAGTAAAGAAACAAATGCCTTTTGAAGTTAAAACAGTTACTCTGTCTTCAGTTTCATTTCCTCTCAGGATGTAGGGTTTTTTTTTTTTTTAAATATAGGTCATATTGTAGCAATCAAATTTAAGTTCAATTTGTTGTTTATCAGATTAAGGGCGTGGGGAAGAGGAAAAGAAAAGAGCTGAGAGAATGCAGCCCACCTGCAAAAGAGACTCCTGTTTCAGTATGAAGCAGCAGGGTGAGGGTGAAGGAAGTGTGCTTTCACTCTTCTGAGTCCTTTCCTGGATGAACGGTCTGGAAATGTATAAAACAAGGGCATAGCACAGACCAAGGGGGGCACGTTCCACAGAATACTGAGCACAGCATGTTACTTAGACCATACATTAAACATCGGTAAATATCTTTTTGATGTTGACACAGGAGTTGGGATTATTGTTTGTTGTGCAGGGGGCAGTGGAATTGCCCGTTTTGAAGGGGGTCTGGGGGAAGGTGCTATGGTTCATACCCCCCTCTTCGATCACCATATACTCCGACTTACTCAGAGTGGAGTTACTCCTTGCTTTTCTGAGCTCCTCTTCTGAAGGAGAGAGGTGCTGGCAACTTCCCACGTGCAAGTACTGGGCTTGCTCTTCCCCTTCGGTCTCCCGGTGGTAGAAGTAATTGAAGTTGGAAACAATCACGGGGACTGGCAAAGCAATGGTCAAGACACCGGCGATGGCACAGAGAGACCCCACAATCTTGCCCCCGATGGTCACGGGATGCATGTCACCGTAACCCACTGTCGTCATGGTTACCACTGCCCACCAGAAGGCATCTGGGATACTGCTGAAACCCGAAGTGGGGTCGTCCGCCTCGGCAAAGTAGACGGCGCTGGAGAAGAGGATGACGCCGATGAAGAGGAAGAAGATGAGCAGCCCCAGCTCCCGCATGGAAGCCTTCAGGGTCTGGCCCAGGATCTGCAGCCCCTTGGAGTGGCGGGAGAGCTTGAAGATGCGGAAGACCCGCACCAGGCGGATGACCCTCAGGATGGCCAGGGACATGGCTTGCTGCCCGTTGCCCTGTCGCTCGGCCAGCTCGGTGCCCAGGGTGATGAAGTAGGGGATGATGGCCACGACGTCGATCAGGTTCATGATGTTCCTCGAGAAGGTGGCTTTGCTGGGGCACGCGAAGAAGCGCACCAGCAGCTCGAAGGAGAACCAGATGATGCACAGCGTCTCCACCACGAAGAAGGGGTCCGAGAAGCTGGAGGCGCCCGCGGGGGCCCCCGACGTGCCGTTGCGGCCGGCCGCCTCGGGCTGCTCGGGCGAAGGCGCCGGGGCCGGGTAGTCCTTGTCGTCGCGGAACTCGGGCAGCGTCTCCAGGCAGAAGATGACGATGGAGACGAGGATGACGAGCACCGACACGATGGCGATGCCCCGCGCCGGCCCCGAGCTCTCGGGGTACTCGAAGAGCAGCCACACCTGGCGCTGGAGGTCGCGGCGGGGCAGCGGCCGCTCCTCCTCGCGCAGGAAGCCCTCGTCCTCGCGGAACTTCTCCATGGCCTCCTCGCCCAGCTGGTAGAAGCGGATCTCCTCGGAGAAGACGTCGATGGGCACGTTGACGGGCCGGCGGATGCGGCCCCCGGACTGGTAGTAGTAGAGGATGGCGTCGAAGCTGGGCCGGTTGCGGTCGAAGAAGTACTCGTTGCGGAGCGGGTCGAAGTACCGCACGCGCCGCGCGGGGTCGCCCAGCAGCGTCTCGGGGAACTGGCGGAGGGTCTTGAGCTGCGTCTCGAAGCGCAGCCCCGAGATGTTGATGACCACGCGCTCGCCGCAGCAGTCCTGCTCGCCGCCGGCCGCCAGCGCGGGCGGCGGCGGCTCGTAGCGCTCCCCGCCGCCGCCGCCGGCCGCCTCGGGCTCCGGCAGGTGGTCCCCGGGCACCACCGTCATGTCGCGCGGCCGCGCGGGGCCGGGGTCCGGCGAGGAGTGGCCGCCGCCGCCGCCCGCGGGGTCCTGCGGGGAGTGGGCGCGGGGGCGGGCGGAGGGCGGCGGCGGCGAGCGCAGCAGGCCGAGCTGCTCGTCCATGCGGCGGCGAAGAGGCGGCGGCGCGGGGTCGCGGCGCGCCTCCCCGCGCCTCCCCGGGCGCCTCCGCGCCGAGCCCGGCCGCCGCCTGTTGCTGCCGCCGCCGCCGCCGCCAGGCTCCGTCCGGGTCTGGCGCGCGCGGCCCGGCTCGGCTCCGAGCCGCCTCCGCCCCCTCCTCCGCGCGCCCCCGCCCCCCGCCCGCGCGCGCGCGCCGCCCGCCCGCCCCTGCGCGCCCACTCCCGCCTCCCGGCCCCCGCGCGCCCGCGCGCCCCGCTGCCCCGGCCCGGCTCGCCGCCCTCCTCGCCGCGCAGCCTCGCGCTCTGGCACCTCGGCGCCCTGCGGCGGCCAGTCGTGGGGCGCCCGCTCGCCCGCGCCCCGCTCTCCCCGGCCCGCCAGGCTGCACGTCCCGGCCGCGGGGCTGCTCCGCGAGTCCCTGGAGCTGGCACGGCGCGGACCCCGCCCTCGGCAGGACGCCCTCTCCCCGCCAACCCTCCCCGTCTCCCCCCAGCCCTGTCGGCCCGGGACTGCCCCCAGGCAGAGGCCCAAAGCCCGGGCCAGCGAGGTGGGGTCCAGGCGGTGTCCAGGGAGGGAGGGGCGGGCCAGGTGGGCGCAGGGCAGAAGAGGCGAGCCTGCAGCCAGCACCTTGAGCCCACTGCAGGGCGGAAAAACGCCAGGCCCCCAGGGCTCTAAGCCACTAGGGTCCCGCTAGGATGAGAAACCCCCGGGGGGAATGAATGGGAGACCCCCCCCCCTCCAGTTCCCCCCTGCGGAGTTTAACATCCCGAGTCTGGAGAAACCGCCTCTTTAAAAGCTTTTGGGACCAAGACTGCCGTGAATGGTATTCACTGCCGTTTCTAGCGAGTATTTCTGTCATTGGAAAGAGTCAAGGACCAAGAGTCTGGCTGAGATTGCTGAAGACAGGCTGATGCTTTCAGCACACAGATTTCCTGTCCGTGAGGAAGTAGGAGGAAATGGAAAATTCCCCGCTTTCCCATTAGAGACAGGAATGGCGTTGCAGACCCTCCACTTAAGATCTTAAGATTCCACTGGTGGTTCGGAATTTGCTTGCCATGCTCTCGCTGTTGAACTGGAAGAGCGTCCCACTCCTTTATATCACCTTTGCTTGTCTTTGGATTGGAGATGATAGTTTAGGTTACCCACTATAGATTTAAATTTATTCTCCAAATTGCTGTGGTCACTGGAAACACAAAAATTTCTGTTTCCAGACATTTTAGCAAGCCCAAAATAAAGCCGACCCTAGGTTTAAAAATGTCTTCTGTCCGATCATTCAAATCACCTGCATTAGAGAAACTGTTGTCCACTGGCAAACCCACCATACATACTCAACTGGCAATTCCACTTGAAGTGAGTGATTTATGGTCCTTCCTTTCCATCACCACTCCCAGTGAGGTAGTTCAATGAGACCAGAGACCAGGCCTTACCCAATTTACATTCCTAGCAGCTACCCAGATGCCTGATAACTATAGGCACACAGCATGCATTTATAATATTGAATCCTCCAAACAAATTATGCTTTGCTTTGCTCTCTGTGTTGTAGTGTCAACATGTCTTCTTCCCAAGTCCAGGATTGCACTAGGACTCCTAGTTTCAGAAAACCACAAACTGAACCTCTGATACAGCCCATATCTGTTATTTCACATGTTTTTCTCCTCTGTCTCTTCTGGGCAAAAAAAGTTCTTTTATCTTCCATTTTACTGCTAGGTCATTGCTCAGTACTGAAGGCAGGAACGTATGTTATAAGATGTTAAAAAGATGACAACCATATAAAACACTGTTTCATCAAACTCTGGGACACTGTCTCTGCACTGGTAATTAGGGTGGCAGTATAATCGATCACTCATATATTTAAATACCAGACTAAGATAGACGCTGCCAGGATGACTTGTAGAAAGGCAGATACCCTATTTTTAAAGACCGAATGTTTCATGCATTTCTGTTCCTGACTGGGAAAGTGATTTATTGCTCCATTTGCAGGAATTAGTACTGAAATTAATATTAATCAATGGAAGACCAGAGCAGATGATGGTCCTGTGATGGAGATCACCCTACTGTGAAGTGTCTCTTTCAGAAATGACTATTCTCATTCCTTTCATGTATCTGCCTGGTCTTGATGACTGATGAAGAGCTTCTCAGGATAGCCCTCTCTCTATATTTGAGGCCAGAGAAGCTTATCAATTTGTTCACGAGCACACAGCTAGTTAGTGGCAAAGCTGGGCCTAGAATCTTGGACCCCTTCCAAATCAAATGCTTTCTCTACTGTATCACACTGTGAAACTCTTATGTTGATCACTGTGAGTGCTTAATAAATACTAGATCTCACACAGTTTCTGATTGCCAACTAGTTCACTTCATATTTATTTTAACTGAAAACCACTGCCTTCTCCCGGCTAGCTTATTGTTTATAGGAAATGAGTTGGTGGGCGAATCCCAGCTCTGTTGGGCATCAGAACCCATCACAACAAATCAGTGTCAAAAATGGCTCTTCAGGGGGGAAAACACACCATTTATTTACTACCCCCAATGGAGAAACTCAAAATGATTTGAAAATGTCTCATTAATCCTAGTGACACCCCTGTGGGATAATAATACTACTATTATAATGTTTGAGCATATAGTTGTGGCAAAGCCAATGGCTTCTGGGAGCATGTACAGAATGTCCTCATATTTCAGTCTTCAAAAGTAGAGTCGATGTAAAGCCATCAAGTTTGAAAACAGTGAGGGTAATTCTTGACGTTTGGGCTCTCTATATTGCTCTGGAAGCAGCTTGACTTTCTGACTGATAACAATAATAATATTAGAAATAATGGAGAAGTGGTTGGCCAGCTATTTAGAATTCCCTAGAACTAGCCTGAATGTATTTATAAAGTGGGAAAAGTCAGGTTTAAGAGATTACTACTAGTTAACAATTAGAGGTGAATGAATGGAGAAAGAGCACTTACTATGAATCAAGCATTATTCTCTGGGGCTGGGATTATGAAGTTTGAACATAGACTTTGCCATCAATAGCCTACGTGAAGTTGGAAAAGTGCGGTGTAAGTCCAGGAAAATCTTTACAGCCACGTTAGTTAACAACAGAGAGCTAATAATACCAGAAATAACATAAGCTGTCGTGTGACAATGTGGTCTATTCTAGATAACCTGTTTGCCTTTCTGTTTTACCAAGCTGGTTCCTGAATCAGGATCTTGCCTGACTCTTTCCTTATGACTCTCTTACATTGTTTCCACATCTCTATCTTTGTTTAAAATGTTTATTCTCAACATTGACTTCCATGAAGGCCATAGATATAGCTTTACATGCCCAAGATGCCAGGCTGTAACCCACTGCCCCCTGAACAGTACACGAAAACAGTTAAATCTATACAAGTACTAGGTTGCCTTCCCTGATAGTAACCATCAATTTCAAATAGTTTTTCTTCCCTTCTCAAGTGGAATTGTTCTAATTTCTTACCAGTTCTATTTTCCCTTTCTGTGTTCATTTACTTGAAATTGCACATGTTTTTAATTTGCATATTATCTATATCCTGTATTAAAACATAAATTCTCTGATGATAGGGTATTCACTTTTTCTCTTTTGTATTCCTCCCAATTTTGAATAGTACTTGAATTATAACACATGTTTATCATGTTGGATGGGAGAAAGAATAGGTACAGAGTGAATCACTAAGTATAATAAGGCACAAATGAATTCATTTTGCTGTTGTGATGAGCTGTTTTGGAAAGGTATCTATAATAGATTGGGTCCTATTTCTTAGAACCAGCTCAACTGGGCAAATATTCAAGGCTTACTTTTTTAAAATACTACTTTCTTCTCCTTTTCCCTCTCCTCACTATCCTGGATAGGTCCATTACTCTATATACTCACTCAAGAATTATATGGTAAGAGGCCTACTTGCCTAGTCTTCCTGCAGAAACTCCCCAAATAGTATTTATAACATCAAACTCATTATCTTTCGCTCCAGACTTGCTTCTCTTCCTGTTTTATTTAAGGCTAGATTACCAAGTCATCCCCAAATCATTCCTGTGCACCCCACCTCTAATCAGTCATTAAGTGACCCTCTCCATATCCTTTTCACTTCTTCATTCTCACTTCCACTGCCCCAATTCAGGCGGCCACGAGCATTTCATAACCTGCTCCCTGCTTTGAGTTCCTCTTTTATACTCCATCCTCCAGGAAGTAGCCAAGTTATTTTTTTATAAAGTGTAGATTTAATCACAGTGCTTTCTTGTGGTGCCAGGAGAGTTGAACTGCCTTGACCTGTGCTTCTGACAGCATCTCCTGTGTTTGTTTATTCCATGCCTCTGCAGGTCCCTGGACATACCACCCAGTTATACACTGCCAAGCTGTTGCTCAAGCTAGTTACTGAAGCACTGACTCACTAAACACACTCTCTCTTGATGCACTCGTAAATTCACCTTCAAGGTACAGCAAAAGATGAACTTGAGACCCCAACCCCTTGTCACTCATACATAGTTAGCACACTGAAGTAAACTTAATAAAATATTAATAAAATATTATAAATGATTTCACACTCACTTGCTCATCAAGTGGCATTTTATTCATCACTTTATTAAAGGGATTTACTGTACTATGTTTAGTTTGAATTATATCTCCTCTCTCCCCACATGAATGTGAACTTCATCATACTAATAGCTACCATATTGTGTTGTGAATACACTGTGCGAAACCAGGGTCTTGACAAGCACATTATTTGCAGGCATCTCCAACTGTCCTGGAAGGTAGGTCATATTATTACAGTATAGTATTACTTGTTTCTCATATGCAGAAATGGAGTTGAGGGTGATAAGGTCATTTCTGAAAGATCATACAACTAGGAATTGGTAGAATTAGAAGTCAAACCGAGAAGTACATGTTCTCAAGCTCTAACTTAGAACACCTCTATGGGGGTGTCTCATTAGTCTTTGTATTTTCAATTTTCAATGTTTATCACTTCACTTAATCACTTAACTTCCCGTTAGTCGTCAATTTGCTCGAGCGGGCGCCAGTAACGTCTCCATTTGTCCCTGTCGCGTGCTAATGTAGCCCAATGGCATCTGTTAGCTCCGGGAACATGAAGGGCCTCAAAC